TTTCCCCTTCTTCCAAATTAACCCCAACTATGCAACTCTTTTCAAAATTTATTTTTAAATTTGACAATCTTTCAAAAACTTGCACCACCAACTTCAGCTTCCTAATCCATTCTAATTCATCTCCCTCACAAACAATTCTCTTCCCACTCTCCAAGCCCTTACCATACCCCTTGAATCAGCCCTTATTATAAGTCTACTCAAAAGAAAAGGAGAGAGGTGGTCACCCTGTCTAATTCCTCGCCTAGCCGAGAAAAAATCCACCACTTTGCCATCAACCATCACCAAATAATGCAGGACCTCAAATCCCCATATCCACTTACTCCACCAATCCACCTTTCTCCAAATCCACATTGTCTCAAAACCTCAAATAGAAAATGCAAGTCAACCAAATCGTAAGCTTTCTCCAAATCTAGCTTATAAATTTCTTCCTAGACCTTTTTCATTTCCTCAACACATTTATTAGCAATCAAGATTTGATCGATGATATGACTTCACAAAGGCCCCTTGATTCGAGGAGACAATAAGAGGGAGGAGACATTCATTAGCAATCTTGTAAAGAGCATTTACCAAGCTAATTGGTCTAAAATCTTTGGGATGAATAGCTCCACTCCTTTAGGGATTAGTGCAATTAATGTAGCATTCAACCTAGTGTTTATAATACCCCTCTCAAAGAACTCCCTAAAAACCTCCATCAAAACCTTCTCTAATATCTCCCAACAATCCTAGTGAAAAGCCATGGTAAAACCATCCAGCCCTGTCGCTTTGGATCTATCCATAGAGATCACCGCTTCCTTAATTTCATCTATTTCAAAAGGCCTCTCTAACCATATTTTTGTATCTTCTAAATGACTAGGCAAATCCAAAACTTCAATCCATAAAAGCCCTAGTTATCATCCATCCTTGGATGAGTTATCTTCTCACCTCCTATCACCAATTTGGACACAAAATTCTTCTTTCTTGTCCCATTGGCCATATCATGAAAAAACTTTGTGTTTCTATCACCCTCTTTATGCCATTTAATCCTTGATTTTTCCCTCCAACTAATGAACTAATCTCTTATGCAAAATGTCCTCTAGTTGCTTTTTCATCAACCACCTAATCTCTCTATCTCCCTCTTCAAAAAGGGCTTAGATTCTTTCATGCCCAAACCTTCAATTTTGTTTACCACCTCTTGCTTCTTTATTTCAATCCTCCCAAAATGCTCTAGATTCCACTCCTTGATTCTTCCATTCTACCACTCCATTTTGCTTTAGAGATGGATTTGTCAATCCCAAAATGCACAAGAACTTTGAAGCAACACTAAATACTCCAAATATAGGAAGTTGGATTTTTCATAAAGTATTCCTTGGCATTATCAAACTGAAATACTTTAATACAAGAGCATGAGATATAACCACGAATATCCAAAAAAAACAATACTAAAAAGAAGGAAATAACAATATCCACCTATATAAGGAATATGATATAGTCCCTACATATCTATATACATAATATCAAAAGAAATGCTTCTTCTATTACTAGGAAGAAAAGGTTGCCTACACTGTTTAGCAAATTGACACCTAAATTGGATAGACTAACAGAGCCAAACAACTTAGAAAACAAAGATCTCAAAGAAATACAAGACAAACAGCCCAAAAACAAAGCTCTCAAAGAAATACAAGACAAATTGCCCAATCAGAAATGCCAAATCATCTTCTGATCTATAGACTTCAATGAAACAACATTCCAAAATCTCCAAATTTGGTATGACAACCCAACTAAAGATGTTTGAGCAAGTAAATCCAATCCACCTCACAACTGCTCCCAACTATCCTCCTTGAAGTCGGCTCTAAAAATTTAAAAATTCAAGCACTTCATAAGACTACCTACAAAAATGACAACCAACTAAAGACACCCCGTCCTAGAAATAGGAGCAGGAGACCCATCAACAATGGATACCTTATCCTTCCCTGAATACAATTGATTGGCATGCAATAATTAAGAAACATTACTCACAGGGTCAGGTGCCCCAAATTCTATAAACCAAGGAATACTAGAATTACCTAGTAACACTACTTTCCAACTGAGATAAATACCAATTGTAGTGCTCTAACTTGGCTCTAGCTGCAACCAGTGTCTCCACCAGTGGAACATTGGGGACAGAAGTGGATGTCTGTAACACAACTCTCCCCTATTTTCCTCAATATGAACAAGAGAATAGGCTTGTGAAAGCATCCTGTATTCCTTTCAACAAGCTTCCTATAAGTAACGACACCTTGGAACCTTCCAAACTACTGTCTCCAACAAATCAATTTGCCTTAAAAAGTGCCAATAATGACTTGATGGTAAAGAAATACATGGCCAGAGAATTCTTGCCCAGCTTAAGCTTGTTCACTTCTTACCTAAACAGTTGAGCATGAGCTAATTAAGTGCCAGGGAACAGATCATAGCAATACTGTCTAATGATTGAAAAGGCATGCCTAGGCATACAGGCAAGGCGCATTTCAAGGCCCGCGCCTTGCCTAGGCCCAGGTGTCTTTCATCTCAGCCCAGGTGTTCATCTTTCTTAAAATGTGCACCTTTTGTACTATTTTAAGTATGGTAGATGGGCCAATGGCTCCGCCCCTGTACCCCCAACCAAGCACAAACAAAAGTAAGCCCATGCTAGGGTTTTAAATTCTTAATTGGTACTTAAAAATTAATTTATGCTTTAGTTTTTAGTTCATATATTTAAAAAAATGTCTTGTATTAGGAAGAGTGAATGAACAAGATTAGCAAAAAGTGGGTTCTTAAAGCACTGGGAAGTGAGCAAAGCAAGCGAGAACACCTTTTCTGCTAATATTGTTCATCCATTCTTCCTAATACAAGATATCTTTTAAAAGATATGAACTAAACTAAATAATAAAAGCAATTTTTAAGTACCAATTAAGAATTCAAGACCCTAGCATTTACTTGGGCTTGCCTCAAGGGGCTCAATATTAAGCAGCTCATAGAATTAGATAATGCAATTATAAAAGAAATAAAGACATTGAAAGTATCACGTGCTTGAATTGTTGAGTGCTTGAATACGTATTATATGTTATGTTTAATTTTATTTTTACATTTTCACCTTTATATGGTTTATATTATGTTTATGTATTTTAATTTGACCTAATAAGCTTTTCAAAACATTTTTTTAAATTTATCTATGCATTTTTTTAATTAAAATGTTTTCAATTTTTGCAATTCTTTGAGTTCATTCATTTTTTTTAATTTTAATAATTCTGCACCTAAAAGGCATGCCTTGCCTAGAGCCTTGCACTTTTAAAGCGCCGATACTGTCACAAATTTCAATGGCCATCATTATCGATAGGAAACTCCAATTAAGAAGGGGTTGCATGGAATTCATCAACAAAGACATCACCAGCTATTTTCTTGCACTCACCTTCCATATTATACATCATGCGGATCTGGTTCTGCCATAAAGCTTGTGAGATATCCTAGCTTCCCATGTACTACATATAGATTGAGCCCATTTTAAATGATTGATTCCATCAAACCTTACAATAGTTATTTGTGAACCAAGAGTATCTCTAGAACATCCAGGGTTGTTATAGGGATCTACTCCCTACTTGGAATCCCCTATAAATAGATCAATTATAACCATAAAAGACTAAATCAAGACCAAAAATGCCTTTGTACAAGACAAGCTAGGTATTTTTTTCCCTACAGTCAAGAATCACCACTTCTCAGGGTACTACCAAATTTGGTGCCAAAACTGAGAGGGAGAAATATGAGCCTCTCCTACCAAGCTCTTTAGAAAGCACCACAACAGGTGAAGATCCCTAGAAGGAAATAAAAGTGAATAAAAAATATCAGATCACCACAATCAATCTACCTTTTTTTTTATAAATACACAATCAATCTACCTTTCTGACCTACAACCAAAATTGGATATGAAATTTTGAGATTTTTTCTCAATTTTTGGGCAGTGACCTCTTGTAACTCCTAAGCAGCAAACCAACCTTGAATCTTCTCCAGAAATCCATAAAAAATAGGTGATCTGATATATAAAGATCAGCCTCCTTAATTTCTAATTAACCCAGCTGACCTAGTTATGCAAGGGAATCAAATGAAGAGAAGAGAGAACTTGCTCAGATAGTGACTTGTCAAGTAGCAACAACTAATCCAGAAAGAGTTCTTCACCTAAACCAATTAAATTAGATACAGAAAAAAAAAAGCATAAAGCAGATCAGAAGAACACATAAAGGATGGAAGACAAGAAGAAGAAATTGTTGGAAAAAGTAAACAGTCATGTGGCTCAACTGTAACCCTATTATGTTTTATACTAACTGATTGTATTGCGAGAAAATTTTAAAAATTTCCCTTGGCTGGGTGACAATTCAAATGAAATAAAATAAGCGAAAAAGCATATCAATATATTAAACCTAATAAAGGAATAACGGCCAACTAATAGAGAATTAATAAGCTAATCTGTTCTTTTGGCATTCTGGCCATTTCCATCATTAATAACAACAATTCTTATTCATCATATTTATTTTGTTTAGTAGGAGCTATATGTAATATTAAAGATATTAAGTATTTTTCTATATTTGTATCTATTTTATATTTTTATTATTTGATTTATGACTTGACAGGTAGACCCATTTAACCTGGATGGTTGAACAACTGAGTTATGGTTGACCTCAACCTGACCAAACCCAGCCCAACTTGCAACCCTAGATTTTTTGCTGCTATTATCTGTTTCTTTTAACATTTTCAGAGAGACCAGTGGCCCCAACTTGATTAGATGAGACCAGAAGTAATCCCAAGCTATAGATGTGAACTTTTACATACCCATGTACTTATCTTTGGTCTGATATGCATAAATTGAATAACCTCGTACGCCAAATGGTACATCCTAGAGGCTAGAACATACCATTCTACTAGCCAATTTGAAATATTAATGTAGCATACATCACAGAAACAATTGGGAAATTTTGAATAACCTCATACGCCAAATGGTACATCCTAGAACATACCTTGTCCCTTATTAAAAGCAAAACTGCAATCCTAACAAGTACATCTCCTATCCTAAGTCCTTCCTTTGGAACACCATCTATCACAAAAAGACAATAACAAAGGAAAGATCAGCAATAGATCAAACCATGTACGGAAGGAAATCAAAGAACAAATATGACAACAAATCAAGAAATAGTGAAATTAACAATCGAATGATGCTACCTGAAAAGCATGGTGACTCAGTTATATCTTCAGAAATGTGTGACAAGAAAAGAGTTCCATATCTGAATTAGAAGGATGACCATAAATCAGTACATCAGACAAATCAACATAATTATCTAGAATGAAGAAACTAACTCAGCAATGGCACCTTTCAAAAATACCATTTGGCATTTTCTATCAATGTTATATGATGTTTCTGATTGTCTTTAACCAGATCTTTGATGGCTGTGGGTGGCTAAGCTCAAAACATTGAGAGAGAAGACAAGAGAAGAAAAAGAAAAAAAAAAGCCAAGGAATCACTCCTACAGTCCCTCTAGAGTCACTCCAGGGCCTTGGGAATCACTCGCCAATCATGGTTTAAAATGTCCCTAATTTCCCTAATATTTCTACGACATATGAGTAGTGACACAAAATTTACCAGAATGAACATATTCCCCAATGAACACTACCAGCACTATGTGGAGTACAAGAGATAGTATTAGAACATAAGTTGGTAACAAAATTGCAGATATGTTGAGTAACAATGTTATTGCCTGCATAACTTACATAATTACCACTTTGAGCTAACTCAGTATTCATTTCAAACATGAAGTTAAATATTTGTGTTTATTTGTGTAATTGATTATTTGGTTGATCTATTACAACCAATTACATTTTCTGAGTTTCAATTTTGCTTTAAATTATTCTATCATGAAGCTCTGAATCTTAAGGTTTACAGGGCAACTTTAACCTTAGTTTCTTAGCTTTGCTTAATGATTTGGAACAAGATAATAATTTAAAAAAGGTGTGCCTATGCTTCTTTTATCATTTCATAAAATATCATTTTATATTTTACATATTTTACAATCCTTCCACCATGTCTATAATTTTGACAATATTTCCATATGATATTTCACAAGGGCCAGCCAAAATACTTTTCCAAGTCAAAATTAGAATTCTGCCACTCATAAATCGACTTAAACAAAACTGATTAGCCCTCAACTACTTCAACAATGACTGAAAACTTAAACATGACAACACTATTCTAGACAAATAAAACTACTTGGCTAGACCCACTACAGACACATGCTAAAATGACCAAAAAAACTCTACTGTCCAAAAATATAGAAATACATAAAAATCCAGAAAATTCAAAAATTGACTCTTTCGCTCCTGCATCACTCAGGCGTTTTTTTCTGAAACTGCTTCAAAGTAATACTCAGGATATTAGGTTCCTTGGCAAAAACAAAGGCCATCATCCACCCTTGCCATCCTCATCTTGCATATCGTTTTTTATCAAATAGGCTGCAAAGTGCAAACATATATTTTATTCAAATCCGATACAAATTGATTTGATTAAAAAAAATATCAAATTCGAGTCTTTTACAATATATGGGTATACAATCCAAATTCGAATTTAATTCATTTACATATTTGAATATATGATCCAAATCTATGTTTTGCAGGATAAGGATGTGGCTGTAAACATATCGGACCAAATTCATTTAGGGGCATATCAGAGTATTATCCAATAAGAATCTGAGAGATCCAAACCTGATCAAATATCCAACAGATATGCAAACATAGACTCAAATACAATCAAAATCCAATTCAAATCCAGTTTTATTAAAACATTAGTAGATCTATAATAAATTAGCATAAATTTATAAAATAAATATAAAACAAATATATATGTTAAATGAGAAAATAAATTAATATAAATCCAAATCCAACTTAACTCTGGAGATTTTAAATACTAAAAAAAATAACATTTTATATGTATGTATATGATTGGATCAGATCGGATCAAGTTGTATACATATCCAATCTGGTTATGACTAAACAGATATCCAAATCCATTAATCCAAGTTTGAAACAGATTAAATCCAATTCATTTGCTCAATTTGAATAGAATACATGGGTACACATATCCCAACCATGTGCAATACCGCCTACATATCTCCCCATTTGCTAGCATATCCCCACTGTGTTTAACCCCCCCCGCCCCCCCACAAGGCATTGGCCCATACAGTGTTTTAAAAGCGCAAGGACCAATTTGTGCCTGAAGCACAAGGCACGAACCTTTTTAACAAAGGCACAAAATTACCCAAAAAAAAAGCTAAAAAAATCAAAAAAAAAAGTCAGAAAATTCAAAAAAATGCCCAAAAATTCAAAAAAATATTAAGCATAATGTTAATAAAAAATATAAACTAAAATTTTAAAATAAATGTTTTAAAAAACCTATTATCTAAAATTAAGATACATAAACATAACATGTAAAGTGTATTCAAATGAAAATTTAAAAATAAAAGCAAACATATAAAGCATTTTCAAGCATGTAAAACCCACAATCTCTTTTTCTCCTTAGTTGCATTGCTTCAAGTAGCTAATGTGATGTAAAACATATTGCATTCTTGATTCTATGAGTCGCCTTTGTACCATGCCCCTCGATTCAAGCCTGAACAAGTCTGTGTTAGGGTCTGAAATTCTTATTTCTCATGGGGGTCTGGGGGCGGAGCCCCCGGCCCAGCCGTTAGACTCAAAAAACAAAAAAAAAAGAGCAAAATTTTAAAAAGGTGCATGCCTGGGCTGAGATGCACGCCTAGGTGAGGCATGTGCCTTTTGAAAGGGGTGTGCCTAGGACATGGGCGAGGCGCATTTGGAGTATGCGCCTCACCCAGGTCCTAGGCGCACCTTTTAAATCACTGGGCCCATACACCTAATCCCAAACTCGTTACACTTATGGCTGTCTGAAATCCACTTTATAATGGAAGAATCTGCAAATTGACTTGTAAACTTGGTTTCTAACCTTAGTTCTCCCTTCCCTATGATCTGCCTATTTACTTTTATTGAATCTATTATCCCAAACTAATGTTTTCAAATCGTCATTGACCCAGACGGTCGGACTGTTCGGACCGGAAACCGTTCAGGCGACCGGTTCCATTTTACCCCAAACCCAACATTTGGTCAAAAACCGTTGAATTAGTCAATGAACCATTGACCCGGACAGTTTGACTGTGAAACCGTTCGACCCGGAGAACGGTTTGCCATAAAGTTTTAAAACAGAGAAATCTCATATGTCTTTCTCGTGCGAGGTGAGAGAGATCTGAGATGTGTGAGACAGATCTGCGCGAGACGATGAGAGAGAGTGAGATCTAAGACTGAGAAATCTCAAATCTGCCACCATCGTTGTCGTCGTCGCCATCACCATCGCCGTCACCGTTGCCGCTGTAAGTCGTCGTCGCCGCTACAAGCCTGCAACCCGCAAGTTTTCCTCCTCCTCTTCTTCTTCTAAACTCTTTCAGTTCAGCCGACAGTTTTCTCAAATCTCTCTCATTCAAAGTTTCAACCATTATTTTCTCTTATATAGTATGCATCTTACCCTAATATTCCAACTAATGGGTAAGATGTTCAAACCATTCGAACTGTTTGACTCGGACGGTCAAACCACTGACCCGAAAACCGGTGGCCATAACAGTACCGTCTCCGGGCCAATTTTTAAAACCTTGTCCCAAACTATGTGGTCAATAATCATGGCATGTACAATCCAATTGCCATCTGCAATGTGGCTTCCAACAAGTGGGCAGCAATTCTTTATGTAATAGAGTGTTGGGCAATCAACAAACAGCAGGTGCAAAAAGGATTGTGGCAGAAATTGTTTGTTGAAATGGATGAGTGGAAAAACTAGAAAGGATAGGGACAGAAATGAAATTCATTAAAAGGAACCTTGGGGTAGAGCCAATAGCTGATGAGAGAACATACATGAAGATGGATTGATCACATGTAAAGAAGACCATCTAGAGGACATGTAAGAAACAATCATTTGCAAGTTGATGGGGATAGAAGGGATGGAAACAAGCCAAAAAGGACAAGGGTTGTAGTAGAAAAAAAAATGATTTAAGTTCTCATAATTTAACAATGGACAGAGGTGTAAAACGGGTCGTGCTGGGCCGGCACGGCACAGCCCACGTGCGGCCCATGGAAAGAGCAGGTCGGGCCGTGCCGACCCATGGGTTGTGCCTCCCTCCACTGGGATATTTTGGGGGGTTGGCTCGGCACGGCCCATGGCCCAAGCCCATGCCGGGCCATGGGCTGGGCTGGTCGGTGGGTCAAGTCTTAGGCCAGGTCGGGCTGTGGACTGGATATAAATATATAAATTATATAGATATTATATATATTTACATATTATTATATAACTATAATTTATAAAATATATTACATATTATATTATATATAAATATATAAAATATATATATATTATATATTATATATAATACATATAAATATATATAAAATATATGCCAACCCACGGGCCACGGACCAGCCCATACAATTGTGCCAGGCCACAGCACGGCCCGTGGAACATCGGGCCGGGCCAGCTCAAAATCGTGCTAGGTCACAGGCGGCATGGCCTAATTTACACCTCTAACAATGAATATGGAGCTAAATGGAACAAAATGGCAAAACAGGATACCTGTAGTTGACCACACAGTTGGGATAAGGTTTAGATGACGATGATGATGATGGTGTAAGATCTATAACAAATATAAGTGTTAAGAACCAATAGTAAATGGAAAGGACATAAGAATAATAGCTATTAAGGACCAACCACCAATGCTTGTCTAGTATTCCTGGATTCTTTTAATTATGCAGCATAAAGTGCATTTGATTCCAAAGATATCAATATGTAGTTCTTCTGTAACCACATTTATGAGCAGAATCTGCTAGTCCAAATGACCATCAAAGGAAGAAAATTTTGCTAGCAATCCATTATAGATGTGCATGTGTGCATACATAGAGACAACTTATTAAATTTAGAACATGAAGCAAAGGTTATATGTCATACTCCTTAATTTCTTCAAAAGATTTTTGCTTCAACCGAGGAGTGAATTCTCTCCAATCAAATTCCCCTACACCATACCTGTAACAAGGGAAAACTAAAACAGGTAAAAATAGAATGTATGAATATGTGTGTCTCCTCAACTACAGAATACATGATGCTAAGACCCAAGAAAGGTAGCAGTACCACCATTCCCTTTCTATCATGTCTTTTTTTTTAGCAATGACTGAAACAAACTCATTAATATGAAAGCAGATTAAGCATCATGGATACCTTTTTTTTTTTTTCTTTTTTTTCTTTTTTTTTTCCTTTCATAGATCCAGCAACAGTGCATTAAGGTGCCAAAAAAACAATATTTAAAAATGCACGGATTGATTAACCATCAAAGTATCCATAATGATATTAAGTGTGCATTAACTTACCAAAAAATGAAAGTACACATGGTCCTTGACATTTATATCTATAAGAAATAGGAGATAATTGCATAGACAGCACAAACCTCATCAATATTTGGACAAATGCAGCTCTTTGGTTTTGATTGAATCCAAGAACTCGAAACGATTTCCCTTCACCTTCCATCAGAGGAAGTGGTTCTGAACTATCCACTGTGAAGATTTTCATTTATCAGTATTCAATTATTAGATTACTAGGGCATGGCCATTGTATTTAGACTTTAGCAAAAAAAACTGAAACAAGGAAAAAGTACCGCGGGATTTCTTCTTCTGAGGCCTTTTTCCAGATCCGGCTCCAGAAGCAATTATTTCAACATCAGTCCATTCAGCTTCATTACTATCATCCTCACCATCTGAACTTGCATCTTCCAGACCAGCAAGGTCATCTTCTTCAACAGATACCATCTGAAATAAATGAAAATGTGCATAGAAACTGAATAAGTAAACTAGGCAACAAAAAGTAACTATAGTTCACAATGTTGGCATTAATGGAATTTCGACCATGTAGAGATGGGGGAAATTTCAGGGATATTTTGCTAATTTCACTAAGAGACTTGGATAATCTAAAAAAATAGGTAAATTTTCTAGAAACATAATAAGTCAATAAACCTTCAAGGAATTGTAAAAAGTATAATCACAATCATAACAAACAACTATATAAATCAAATAAGAGAATATTAAGGGGCTTAAATAGGTATCTTTCTCCGTCCGCCTTTTACTCTTTTAGCCATCTCTTCATTACATATGTAAATTATTTGCCAATTTAAATAGGTATCTTTCTCCTTGTATCCCTTAAGTTTTCAGAATCCTCTTCTGTAGTTACAATCATTTTTCTTCTTCTTTAGAGTTATAGTGCCTTAAAAACATACCGGCAAAATTTAAACCTTAAATGTACAATCCTATCGAAACATATCGGCAAAATTTCAGAGATATTAGGAAAAAGAGATTCTCAAAAAATTGTAACGCCACCTAGCAAAATGGAGAGTTTTCACAGGATTTTGCCAAATCTCACCGATATTGTGAACCATGTATGCAACACAATGGCCTAGTTTTAGATGTTAAACCGTGTGCTTATAAAATGATATTAGAAGTTAAACGATATCATTGCACTTGGCCCTTATCCTATGATACTCAAAAATGAATATGGTGATGGTATCCCAATTAATATTCCTACATCATCAGTTTATATATAATTTTGAAGCTAAATGGCCACACTCCCCACTGTCATACCAAGAAATGGATATTTTGGCACACTAAACTACTATATTCATCATCAACTTGTTCCAAACACACCATCTGATACAAAATATAGTTCCAACACATCTTACAATTATTGACCTATATGACAATGAACATGTCAAAACAGTCCATCCAAAAGAGCAAAAGGCCATAATATGACTGTAAACATGCTGGTACTGACCACACAGTTTAATATAATGCTTATGTGCTGTCTTCTCTCTCACTACAAACTTTCCCCATTTGCCCCTTGTCTTGCAAGTTAATCTTCTAAACTTTGCTGCTCTATGTATCCATGACCATGTCACTCCCAATACTCAAGCCATCTGAGTAATGTCTCAAAGTATACTTGTGCTGCCACATTCCTTTGGAAGTAGCTACTTGAGATCATGCGCCACAGCAGGCCAGGTAGGAGGCATATATTTTAAATGTAAAAAATTATAATTTTAATATAAAACATTAAATATATAAAATATGAGATATAATATGTTATAAATCACTTGAATGATTTGTTTGAAAATTTGGAAAGAACAGTGATTTAAAAAGCATGCCTGAGGTGCACCTAGGTGCCAGGCGAGGCGCATTTTGGGGTAATGTGCCTCGCCCAGGTTCTAGGCACACCCCTTTCAAAAGGCACACGCCTGGCAAGGTTCCTTTTTCAAAAGGCACACTCACTAATTCCCTGTTCTTTTACTATAGAGTCATGGACTCTTTTGGGCTAGCCTCGAGGGGCGTGGCACAAAGGCGGCTTGTAGAATCGGGAATGTAATATGTTTTACATTACATTAGCTATGTAAAGTACTGCAATTGAGTGAAAAAAAGAGATTAGAGGTTTTACATGCTTGAAAATGTTTTATATGTTTGATTTTATTTTTAAATTCTCATTTGAATATGCTTTACATCTTATGTTTATGTATTTTAATTTTAGATAATAGGTTTTTAAAACATTATTTTAAAATTGAACTTCATATTTTTTAGTAATATTATGCTTAATATTTTTTTATTTTTTTATTTTTGGCATTTTTTTAATTTTTTAACATTTTTTTATTTTTTAGCTTTTTTTTGTATTTTTGCGCCTTGCTTCAAAAAGACGCACGCCTCACCTTGCACCTCAGGCACAAATTGACCCCTGCACCTTGCGCTTTTAAAACACTGTGCCAGCGGAATAAGAATAGAATATACAAATATACAAAGAAAGGTTGACAATCAGATCTCTGGATTCTCCTTGGAACCTATCCCAAAAACAAATCTACTCTATGCACCCCCTTGCCTAGTTAAGGCATCAATCATGCTTTTTTGCATTCCTCAGAACCCATTGAACTGAAACAACTAATTCATCTTCCAGAGATCCGATTTCTCTTAATATATACCTATAGTTCCATGTTCCTGACACCTTGCCAACATGGAATCCCCACCCATAATAATATTTTTATAATTCAAATTCCTAACAGTTCTGCCCTCATAGAATCCATGACCAATAGGTCCAGAGAATAAAGTCATTATCTTCCCTTCCTCACATCTGAACACCCCTTCAATACCTGACTCCCCTGGATTACTGAGGCTGCACCCATCAAAATTCATCTTAATGCAAGGTGGGTCCAGAAGCCTTCAAAGGCTATGAACTTTTGGCTTCACAGAATGCGAATTTGCAAATTGCATTATACCAATTCCTAGCTAGATCATCACTGAGAAACCAACAAAAGAGTAGAGAAGTTTTGACCCACAATATCACTCTCAATAGAATGGTTTCCACCAAGGCTTCCATAGATTGACTTTATCCAAGAAGATTCTTCTGTTCTGTTCTGTTCCTCCTAACAGTCCATAAAACAGCCGCATTCAAGCATCTCTGTAAAGCTCTTCCCCTCATTCTTGGTGGAGAAAAGAGGGTGCAAAAAAAAGGTTCTTAGGGTCCAATTAGGGATTCCACCTGCAGCCAATAAGAGAGAAGAAAGAACTCCAAATGGCAGTTATAAATGGACAGGAGACTAGAAAGTGAACTTCATCCAACAGCACCTCATCCCTAGCTGGTTTCTTAATTATGTCCATGATATTTGCACCATCTCCTTTGTCATCCCCCATCCAAATCTGATGCCCCACCTTATTTTAGTCAATTGAACACTCCTATAGCATCTAGGGCATTCAGCTTCCGTTGGGCTCCCTTGACATCCATCTAGCAATAGATAATTTTACCTGGTTCTACCATCCAATGTCAAAGATACTTTGAATGGTCTAAACCAATATATTGATTCAAAGTGACTAGTAATAGGAATGTAATATCAAGGAATAAGTGTACAGATAGACTAAATAAGAGGATTTTTTAGCACATCTATAAAAGCTGGTTATATTACAAGGCAATGACATTCTAAGAGAAAATTATTGGAAAATACACATTGAGCAGCAGATTAAAAGGAGTAAAGTTGTAAAATTGCAAGAATGAAATAATGGGATAAAAAGGAATTGAGTAAAAAAATGCAACAATACCACATGCAGATGATAATGCACATAAGAAAATGAATATCAAAAAGCAAAAAATATATGATATAGGAGTTAATATAATACAACAGATCAATTTGATATTCATTTAAAGCAACATAAAAAGCAGACCATACTTGTTTGCGGCTTCTTTTTCCCTTGCCCAAAGCAGTAAATTGTTCGATTTTATGGACTTCATATCTATCCTTTAAAAGTTCCTCCCAATAATTTGTTCTTTCTGAATTAGTGAGATTAGTTTTATTTGCTGCAGAATCCTTTCGAGCTTCCTCTTCAGCTGCAGCTTCCACTTCATCTATATATTCAAAATTTGCTACCTACAAGAAATAAAAAAAAGAACATCATCAAGTATGTTGGAGAGCAAGAAGAAACAGAAGCAAAGCAGATGATATCACATGGCAATATTATACTTTTAGCACTGAAGTTACTCCAATCAAATTGCAAAGTGCTCTTTTGTCGAAAAGCACTCTAAATACCATGAGAAAATCAGAGGTTTCATCAATATTAGCTTCTATCTTGAGTCCATGATGCTGTAACACCTATGTTAACAACCTATGTTACCCAGATGTCTTGAGTCCCTGATGCTTTACCTCTATTAACCTATGTTATCAAAAAAATCAGAGGTCTCATCAAGTGTACAAGGGTTCCATATTGTCAGATAATTCATCTATAGTATAAATTGCATATCCAATATCATGTCCATGCATATCCTTAACATATCTGAATAGCATAGCTTAGAACTTAATTAACCAAGTCATAGAAACAATTCTTATCCATAAACCATAACTAGTGGGGATTTGTTAAGTTAAAGATAAACAATAGAAACACGTAAGAGTACACAATTGTTTTATATAATAATTAATAATCACTTATATTTTATATACTACTTTTAATAATTTTTTACAATACAAAAATGTAAAGAGACTGGGCCGAATGGGCCCTAACAGCCTCTCTTGTAATATCTTTTATTTTATGTTGATGGGCCACACTTAATGGGCCGGTTATTTATTCTTGTTTATTTCCTTTATGTAACTGCCAAGCTGGCCACCCACTTAAGGGCATACTTGTCATCATTAATTTTTTAGATCTTAATAAAATAGGGTTAGAGGAGAATGGAG